TATGTGTAGATTCTAAAGCAGCTTAATTTGGTTATTTTAACACATATCAAGATCCAAACATAGAGCATATGGTGCTTTTATGAAATCACATGATTGACCTCCATGTTTTGTTATCCCAGGGGACAATATTACTCAAACAATTAATAAATATATCTTCTAAAATGTAAACAACACTACATATCTGCCATATAAGCAATTGATGTAAAACCTAGAGTGTTCCATTTTCATTGTAAAACAGTATAAAGATAACTCCTAAAATGTTTTTAATGAATAAAAGGCTATGAAACAGCAACTACAGTAAAAGACAGAAATACTGGATGTGTCATTAACCGAGAAGATTTTCTTTACTTCTGCAAAACGAGATTAGTTGGCTACAGTTAAAGGAAATTATTTGTTATTCTTTCTGAAATACAGATGTTTTTCATGGACTTCAAAGTAAGAGTGACCATGTCTGAATCAGGCAAAGTCTGGAAGGACACTGAGCTCAGAGCACTAAAGTATAGAGCAGACATTAAAATCAAAAACAAAACAGACATTTGGCCAGTATCACATATGAATGTAGTGACTGCACTCATCACAACACTGCTCAGAAACTGGTTTATAGACAGCTTTCAAAAGATAGCCTATAGGAAGTCCCACTGCATGGTTTAAAAGATCATGACACTTCCTAGCGAAATTTCTGACATCCCAGAAAGGTGAAACCAGGTCTTAATATACAGAAATGATCTACCTAAAACACATTTAGAAATACACAGATATATCAATGGACTATACACATGACTGTATGAAACCAAATGATTAGATCATTAAATGATAAGAAGTCACATCTTATTTCAATGACTTTATATTAGATCATTATTTTAAAATCATCTAACACAAATACGTACTGTATAGGAAACACACTTTACACAGATCCACATTCAGTGATTTCAGTGTAATACAAGGGTAATCATAGGTATAGTAGGTCCCTTTTCAGGGCATAAAGGCCCCTGGGAGAAGGGGGGGAAGGGCCACCATTTTTCTCAACCATCCGACACTGGAGGTGGAGGTGATGTGGTCAGCATCACGCTCCGGCCGGCCTGTTCCCCCCGGAAGGATTAACCCCTTAGGAGTGGACCTAAAAAAGCATCTGGGAGGAATCAGAGCAAGCGACGTCACCTGCCCCTACCTGGGATTGAACCCAGGACCTTCCGGTCAGAAGCAAGACGCCCTTGCCGTCTGAGCTACCAAGGCTCCTGAAGGCAATCATGACAAGAGACATTTTGTGCTTATAAGTATGAAAACATTGATAATCTACTCTTGAGGCACCTACACTAACACTTATACTCCATACACTGTATTGGATACCCTGATACTGTATCGGTTCATACTGTTTCGGTTGTAACGTATTCTCATCATGTGTTGTTATGCCACGTAATTCAGGTTGAAAACTGCTGAAGTAAGAAAAATGCCATAACATCCCACAACCTGCTGTTACTTGAAATACCGAATGCATTTCAAAACTTTAAAAGGTGCACCGTCCATTTTAAAGCTGCTCATTAAATCCATCAACCGTGTGCTCTGTTTACCAGCACTACTTTTTACATGAGAGACAGACAAAAGAAGGTCAACTTCCCTGCTTTCTTTAAAAGATCTCTGACAAAACATTCCGATAATGATCATTTTATACGTGCCTTACAATGTGAGCTTAAAGACCAACAATTCAAATCTCAACTAAACTCAAGTATGAATCATACATTAGAGACATAAGAACTGATTCAACATTCAATTTAATGCAGCATTTATTGTAGAATAACGACCTTTGCTGAAGAACTGGGCAGGAAAAGCACAGTTTACCAGGTCTAAATAGCCTACTCCATATATGCAATCTTTGGGATTTGCATTATATCCTTTAATGATATGACATTCCTTATATTATATACAGGATATGCCAGTGGAAATCCTGCAAAATTATTATCCACAAACCCTAAGGCAAGGATTTATATTATTTCAGAAATGCCACAAATAATGTCATATGGAAATGTTTCCATTTCTGTATTGTTACCGTTTATCAAATGTTCAATGTAAGGAAGAGGAAAATAAAACATCAACAAGCTGGTCCTGAAGCGAGCCCCGTTTTGAAGACACTGGAGGTGATGCTACATTGTTACCTCACGCTCAGGTGACAGAAGGTAAAAAGTGTTGTGGCCTAGTCAGTAAATCTGCAAGGGCTTAAACAGCACCCTCATAGAAAAATACCTGATAGGGTTCGCTTCTTGTTTAATGACTCATTACTGCTCCTCTTTTCTGAACAGCCATATGGGTTTGCAGAAAACCTAATTAAACCATTACAGTTAAGCAGGAAGAAGCCCCACAAGGAGATTAAGTCAGAATTTAGAGAGAATGCATTTGGGAACTAAGGGCATTATCAAGATGTGCTCAAAATAGGAAAGGAAGCCTTTTAATTAGCAAACTGTACTGTATATGAATTAAACAGATTTTAAGCACTGTGGGCATTCTAGTACACTCTTTTGGTGTATACTGTATATTAATTTGTATGCTGTAATATATGTGATGAATTTCCAAGAGCGTTTTTCAATGGTTTTCATTGTTTGAGACTTTTTAGTTTGAGGAACATTTTCAAAACTGATGACTTGAGAGCTACAGAGACAGATTGCAGGATTGCACTGTTGAAACCCCAGTTAGGGATAGAGTTAACATTCCCACACTCCTTAAGACATTTTTTTATGCTCAGTGCTGGATTTGAGGTTCCAAGTGAACTTTAGGATGAGCGATAATGTGCTCTCTGCAACTTTTTTTCGGAGACTTTTGGCTGCTCATCTTGTACAGTACATTTACAGTGTCACCCGTCAACTGTCCTAGATGTCTGTACCTTCTACAGTCTATCTGGCATTATTGCAATATAGAAATAATGAGCATTCACTACTGAACGTAAGATGCTTTTTTTCTAAAGATGAAAATGGGTGTCTACTGTCAGTAACTCAGCCTTGTAGCTGAAGTTGCTTTCCTGGTTCCTTGAAAAGATGACTGGACGAGAACCACGGCAAACAGTCAAATGATTAACACAGAACACTTGGCGTCCTCTTGTTTCATAACTGCTCTCATGATGATTTTCTGACGTACACCTGTACAGGGACTTGTGCAGATTCTCACATGCAGCTGGTGCCCCTCAGTTAAAGGCAAGGCCGTGCAGTAGACACACACTTCACGGGCTGAATTCTGCTGCCCTGGGAACATATTCTTCAAGCACTCACACAAGAGAAAGATACTGCACAAAATAAGAATGGAAAAAAAATAACCTAGCTATGGACACAGATGAAAGATCTAATACCCCCCAATTTCTATTGCTCTCATCCTCACTGAAAGATCTTCACTCAACAACCCTTTGTATGCTAAGAGCAGTCCATCATACTGACTCCAGCCTGTCTTCACTCACTGTAGTGTACAGTACATCCCCTCTGGTACATCTACCATCAAGTCCCTAGACTAAAACATATACTGTACATGATGCACTCTGGGTTCTCTTGCATACAGTAAATATGCAGTTCTGTTCAGTATGTTAAACAAAAATAAATAATAAGCCTCCATCCTACAGCAATTTGCCATCGCCATGACTATGCTGTAGGCATTTTAATATAAATAAAATTGTTAAAGTGACCTTTCTAAAAGGAACTAAGGCTGAACTAAGGCAGTTAGAAATACTGTACTTTAAACAAGCTGCAATATCACTTCATAATCAATCACTTCCCCCTTGAGTTTAATAGTAAAATAGTAAAATAGTAAAAAGAACATAAGGCGCATAATTTACAAATGAAAAATCTGCCGCTGTGATATGACATTCTCTAATGCTTATATAATTAAGATTATCTGATGGAATGAAACACCATTAAAGAAAATTTTAATCCAGAAGATTTTTTTTCACTTTAAGAAACTGAGTGTGCAGAACACACTATTTTGGCAATGAAAAAATACTGTATACTGTACCTGTACCGCTGTGGGCATGCTAACCTTGTTTGTTTGTGTCCTGTGGTGAATTACTGCATCATTGGCATGTGAAAGCCAACCATTTTAACTCACAGGCAACTGTTTTTTTTTTCTCCAACTGGAAAACTTGATCTTCTGCATCTCACTTCAGAACTATGCAAGTATGGGAATCATCTCTCTCTTCCAAACCCATAGTGCTCCTCACTAGGTTTTCATTTCTAAAAGGTAAGAACTGCCTTTAAAATACTGGTACATTTTTCTGACTAATAAGGAATCTTGAAAATCAGTCTTTTCCTTAATATTGTGAGCAAGCATTGCAATTAACAGTGCAAGAATTAAATTAATACTGATTCAGTTTAAAGGAAAAAGTCCACTTATAGTTTTTACACCGGATAAATGCCTTCTAATTCTAAGGCCACCCTGAGCGCTGTCCGTTGAAGCAGTATGGGACCACTATCCTATTTTAAATCCCTCTAATGGCCACACATTTAACATTTAAGGGCTTCCACAGAAAGTTCTGCTCACCACACAGAACCTGCTGTCAACAGCTTTCCTACTCCTTTAATTGACTCTTTTTTACTTTTAAAGCACAAACTATACCATGTGCTACTTAGAGCTTGAAAGGAGCTCAAAATAGAAATATAATATCCCGTTAAACTGGCAAATCAATATCGACAGACTCCTTATATCCCTTCAATAAGATAGTGTGCAATTAATTCAACTTTTTTTTGCAATTCACCTTTTCATGCTGCTGATACACCACCACATTCTGGCATCGCAGGTTTTTAACTAAATGAGACATTGCAGCAGAAAAGACCTGAACCTTGCGTCTCACTAGCGCAGTGAAAGAGTGGCTAACCCACACCTGCTTGCCACTTCCCAAAGGTAAAGTGCACATGCTGGGCGAAACCCCCAAGGAAGGGCATCCCACAGTAGAAGCCTAGAAAGGCTTTAACTCATGGAAGAGGGAAGACGTCGCTGAGCAAGACCAGGCCCAAGTGAACCGTTTGTCTTACCTGCTGACGTCTGCTTGAACTTCTCACTTTTCTTCTTCCTCCACTTCCAGGGCTTGAAAAGCCTGCCCAGCGTGGCAAACTTGCTTCTTCTCCTGATGGGAGGGGTGTGAGTTCCGGGGACGAGGGACTCGGAGCGCATCGCAGCCAGTCTTTCTACTTCCTCAGCTGGGAGAGGGAAGGGAAGACAAGCAGCGTCAACGGAAGCACAGATTTGTACACAGCCTCACCGTTCTCCACTCCTACCCTTGGAAATCCCACGTGTGCTTAGATCGAAACTGACACTGTACTTGCCGTGCTCTTGCAAATTGTCAATACTATATTCTCCCATAATTACAGTTCCCACAATGGAGCAGCTGTGCTGCACAGGCGTGCTCTTCACAGAATGCGGATCAGCAGTTTATCTTGGCCCCTCTTCTGCCAACACCACAGCCCCGTGCCAGCCCTTTTCTCCTCCCCACTGGTAATCTTGGCACAGAACTGCATTCGTGGAAATAAAGAAAACCAAGAACTGAGAACCACACTGTGGAAAAAGCGGAGCAATAGTCACCTTAGATGAGTGGCAAAAACTACTGTCAAATACAAAAGATCAGAGCAAGACCAGCTCGCTAAATGTCCAGTAAAAAAACCTTCACTTCGATATACATACAGTCAATCATGAGTTCCAGATTTGCAGATTTCCATTTTTATTCTTTTTTTTGTGTGTTTTGTTAAACTCAGATATACTGAAAACCCCAGAAACAGGCCCATCTGAAGGGCCAGATGTGCAGATCTATGGCCAAGCTGTAAAAGCAGCTCTTTCCAGTGGGTAACTATATGGCCAGAAGATGCTAAATATAGAAAATCAGAATCACACACAGACAAAAGTCCCGTGACTTCCTGTTATGTTTTGTCATAGGAAAGATCATGCACGTTTTCATGAACGTATCCCCTTACTTCTCCTTTTATCTATTTATTGCCCGGGGGTGATTAAGAACAATATTTCAATAAAAAGCAGTTTTTTAACAGGCTCACCGTCCAGACTGCTCAGTCTTTGGGCCTGCTCTGGCCTCCTCGATAGATAAACATTCCAGTCCATTTTTAAGTATTTTAAGAACTGCTTCCAAAATAAAGCGTGAGATGGAGAGCAGACGTTTATTGTCTGAAAGTTTAGTTCTATGTATACAGTGCGTATCCTACCATGGAATAACAATTGCAAAGCTGCCACGTTCAGGACACTGGAAAGACTACCTTGAATTGTCCAGGGGTGCTACAGCAGGGCTCTGAGAGTGTCCCTAGGATGCTCATTGCTCAGCTTACAGCCTTTCTGCTCTCAACAAATTTCCGGGAGCTGCTGAGTTTGTGCTGGAAACATTGTTTGCAAACAAAACAACAAAACTGAATCAGCGACGGAGGGAGAACTTCATTGGTCCTCCGTATACTGTCGCGAGCAGTAAAGACACGCACACAGAGCAGAATCCCACAGGTGACGGCGTGAAACTGTCCGGGTGCCACTGGGCACGGAGGACCCGACCCTCGGGTGTAACAGTGGCCCCCGGGGCCTGCCGGCCCTCCAGTGAAGTCCACGAGGGACACACTGGACAGCGCGCCTGTCAATCCCACCACAGGACGGCCAGCGGCTTGGACAAGTCCACAGGCCCACTATCTCCCCACGCAGAGCGGACATACGCTAGGAAACAACCCACCATTCCAAAAGGGTGGGCACAGCTCACACAGAAACGGGTGTTTCCAGATTTAAAGACAAACAAAAAAAAAAAATACGACCCCACCCCAGACTTTTAGTCAGGCAAACCAGGCTGCAACATTTTCGAATCAATCCAGGACAAAGAAAAATCCAACTGGCCAAAGACAGACAAAGAAGGAAGGCTGTACAAAAAAAAAAGTTATTATGTTAATAATACAAAGCGAGCTACAAAACTTAACAATGAGAGCTTGTCATTTTCTCCACGACAGATTTTTAAAAAAACATGTACTGTAACTGTACTGACTGCCTTTTATGAAGTGTTTTTAACCATGTAAATCAATACATACTTTCATAGTGTTCGTTAGAAAAGTATGTTATAGGAGTCATTTACCATGTATCATTTAAATATGCAAATAACAATGTGCAGACATGAGATGGGAGAAGTGATTGATTGATTGATTGATAGGTTTTAGCTACTGGCTGTCTCCAGCATCGTCAAGCAGCAAATGAGAAACCAATGAGTGATAAGATTTACCCTTTTCCCTAAAAGATTAATGATAAAAACACGAGACTGTATATACAACATGGAAGGTTATGGACATTTAAAAAGTGTTCTTTGACATAAAGATTGCAACTTTTCTATTCTACAACCCAAACATTACTCCATAATACATTCTTCTAATGATTAAAAATATGTTATCATCCATAGACACAAATACCATCTTAATGACATAATTGTGGATTTAAACCATGAGTATTTTAAAATGTAAATACTGACACAAAGCACAACAACAGTTAACCGATTAATTGAAATATAAATTGCAACTTTGCTCAAACCCCAGAATTTAATAAGCCAAAATGTACACAGAGGTGGACAGCTTTTCGATGAGACGCTGTGTTGTGGGGAGTTAAAAGCTTCCATAGCAGGCACAAGCGTATCTACAGAAAACTACAAGAAACGTCACCATGCCTACTGCTAATGACTGCCACAAAATTCACCCACCTGAACACTCTCAGACTTGCATTAAAGAGATGAGAGTCTATCACAGCACCAGCTTGGACTGGGGAAGTTTTCACACTATGTTCATTGAGTATAGTTTTGTCAAACAAAATATATATATTGTTCAGTTTGGAATTGAATTGCATTTACACATATCTAAATGTGTATCTAAACTACAAGAATAAAAAACTGTTGTCTATGAACATACTGTATCATTTGTGAAATGATATTAAATGCACAATTAGGCTACGTATTTAGGCCATGTGGAAAAAAAAGACATGTCCTACATTTTTCACTACAAGCTTTCTGATAGAAGAAAGCTGTCTCAATGCTGCCGGCCTGCTGCAATGTCTCTGACCCCAACCAATAAACAAGTGCTTAAAACCAAGCAGCAGGGAAAAGAGCGCCCAGACAGTTCCAGATCACGTGACTTCGCAAGTCTCCCTGCCAAAGGCAGCGTACACTGCGACCCCCAACCGGCGTCTCTCCACGAGAATGAGAACTAATACAACAGCTTTCGTGACAAGCAGCGGACTCACGGCAACACTGCACAAAATCCCGGTTCTGCAAGAGAAAAAGCCCTCCCGACAGCCGAGCTGTAGAGGGATCAGATGCTCCGCTGTGCAATTTTCGGTCATGGATGCAGTCTGAGATATGAGCAGGACAGCCAGGCTGTCAGCATGCCAAGTGAAATGGGAATGTTTTGATTGCGTATACAGTGACACAGAACATGTACCACGCACTGTACCACAATGTATGGTCCTTCCAAGCACACTGACTTAACTACAGGTTTTTTAGATTGTTTCAAACATCTTCTGCCCATAATATTGACCTCTATTTTTTCTAGAATTTTTTGGAAACACAAGAGCTCTGGGGCGCCGTCAAGACACAGCTACAGTAGAATACATCTTTCAGAACCTGCCGCATATTGGTTTAAATAGAAACGTTTAATTCCTCAAGGGGCCATGTGAAAATAATGTCACAGTGCTCGCAGGGAGAGGGAGACCACAAATGCATAAGGTCAGAAGGCCTAAAAACAACAGAAAATCAATCACATATTGCCATAAAAGGCCTGTCTGCTCCAAAGCTACATTTAGGGTCATGCTTGTATTGACTTATCACATTTACAGTGTAGACTTTATACACATGAACTGGTTTTCATTACACCTATGCACGTGGTTCAATTGAATCATCTGGTAATTCACATCCAGCAAGAACTGGTTTGCTATTCAGACACAGTTTTCTGTACGTAGCCTTTGAATTCATTTTGCAGCCAAAGAGATAGAATCTGCATTTGGTATTATCTGACTTCCTGCCAGTTTGTCAGTGGGATCATTAGGAACATAAAATTATGCTTACCAGGTTAGGAGAAAGACAGAATGTAGCATGAACAGATATTAGCATCAAAATCATAAAACAATTGTGTTTCACATATTTTATACAGGAACTGTTTGTTTCTTCAAAGCGCTTTTTCCATTTCTCATATATACAACAAAAAAGAGGCCAAGTATCTCAAGCAGAACAATTTTGGCATTTACAAATGTTGAGCTTTCTGAAGCTTATCTAGCCCAGCTTTTTCTAATTGCACTTTACGAAAACAATCTCACCAATACGCTACTCTGCACTTCAGAAATCACCTCTTTCTATCGCTATAATCTCATCTTCACCTTTCTGACTAACTGAACCTGATCAATACCACTTCAGGCAAGCTTTGGATTTTCACCTGCATTGTGTTTTTGAGAAAAGACAAAATAAGGCATTTGTTCAGAATCACTGGGCTATTAAACTAACAAACAGTAGAGTATTTATTGAACTGCTAATATTTAATCAGGTGTCTGCTCAAATAGCTATAAGAATGTAATACACATTACATTCCAGGGATCGAAAAGCAAAACCTTGCACGTTAAGAGAAGATCTTAAAAGATGAAGAATATAAGCCAAAAAATCGCAAACAACTCTGGAATGTACGCCTGGGGGCCTGTAACAATATCTCAGGAGGGGATTGGAAAAAAAACTTCAGAGGAGAATTCCTTGAGGTATTAATGCAGTCAGGCAGTCTTGAAAGGGAGACGGTCACGCTAAACAAACACAAGGTCTCCAGTTGCTACAGTTAGGATCCTTGCTTTCCTATTCAAAACTGTTTAGTGGTGTTGGTATAACTTTATAGAGTCGTTTATTATATTCTAGTAGTTTTCAAGATATACAGTCGCAATTGTTAGGATAGAACTGATGCTGATCTTCCTTAATTGCTTATATTCACACATATATACGGCAGTGTTTTCTGTTCAGTTTCTGTCTGTTTAAAATGGGACAATACAGCAATTTTACTAATTGAATTGAATGCTGTCTTTCATTTGTGCAAGACGCTAATGTAGTTAACTTTGTAACACATTGGAAGCAGACTGCGTTGATTCGAAGGCACAGAGTGATAACTGCCGATACTTCACATTATAATATGAATTGTGTTTATCTTAACAACAGTAAATGATCACACTCCACTTGAGCTCTAGGTGCATAGTATTCAACTCATGTGCAAAAGAAAATGTCTTTATCACTTGAACAAAAAAGGTCAGAACGCTCCATATGCAGACATGCAAGCAGACAGCTTAATAGATCAAATAATAGCCAATCTTATCACTTCGCAGATCACCCTGAATTATCGTAAATGTAGGATGTAGCCTACTATTATTGTTCAGAAATATTTTCTGTTTCATGCAGTCATTTCTAATCAGAATTCTGCGCTACTTAGTATTAAGGTCATGTAATTTCATAAAAAGAAATTCTACATCGAAATTGGAATATCAGTGTAAAACTAAAGATGTTGTATTTTTGATTTTAATACCGAAAGACAGCACAAAATATAGTCGTTTCTACTTATAACTACTTTAAAAAAATCTTACAAAGCGGAATAAAATACACTGCTGCAAATTTTATTCGCACTTATATTGTATTTATTATCTTGAATAACAGATAAGATGCAGTAGCGCAATTCTACAGAAAGGGTCACCAACACCAAAACATTGATCTTCTAATGATCCAGTTCTATAGCACACATTTCCAAAGCACTTTTTATTAAAATAGGAAAACAGCAGTAGAGTATTAATCTCCCCAACTGCACAACCACATCGCCACTATCTTCAGCTTGACCACCAACCTTATTAGGCTTTCGGAAATATATAACATTTCCGTCCTCCGTTAAAGCCCTTTCGAGAAAAATTGCGGAGTTAGACCTGAAATAAACTTTAAAAATCCAATGGATTTCATCCCCATTCATTAAAATTTGATAAATGAATTATTTCACACAGTTTCATTACCCATAGAGTGTGAATGTGTCCGATTTTTGTGTCCACTGCCTCTTTGTTTTTACTTTCTTGACATGAGCCCGAACAACCATAAAATAATATTTATGTTAAAAAAATATAATAAAACGACATTGTATCGGATGCTAATGTACTATCATCTCTGAATTGACAAAGATCATCCTCTCTTCGCATATTCTTTACAGCATTTTTTTACAGTTGCCTACATCTGAACCAGCAAACAACGAAGAGAACTGAATAACATTCTGCAACAGAGCGGGGAGACCGGAGCATATCGATTAGCTATACGCTCTATATATTAATAATAAGCACACGTATGTGAGCTACAGACCGAGGAGGGGTGGGGGTGTTTTACAGCCGAATTGCGGCTTGTTTGTCTTCTGCACGTTTTATTGTCAGGATTTCCACGCACACTTTGCTGTGAAAACAGCCCTGGCCATCTCGGGGGCTGTTTACAGCAGCGAGCCGCTCCGCCGCCCCCGCCGCCACCACCACCACCAGCCCAGCGGGTCCAGCGGATGCTCCCGCACTCACATGCCGCACTGGCCGGGCTGAGCGACACAAACAAATCCCCCAAAACAAAGACGACAACACACACGCACAAAAAAAAAAACCCTGCGCCCTGCTCACTCACTCACCGTCCTGCGCCTCGTTCCCGCGGCTGCAGTTGCTGCAGATGTGCTTGATTTCTTTGCCTATGTGGCAGTGGATCATGAAGGACATGTTATTGTGGTTCGCGGGCTCCTTGTGGTTGGCGAGGGGTTTCATCCTGACCAGGTAGAAAGCTCTCTTTTTAGGCTTCTCGTCGGCCATCCCCGCCGGCGTGCCCTCCCTGTATCCAGCGGTCACCCAGGTCCCGGGCAGCCTGGTGCCGGCAGAGTCCGCCATCGGTTCAGAGAAGGACTAGTACTCACTCGAAGTGATTTACGTCTGGCTGCTCGCCACACAAGGAGGGGATAATGAACAGAAAGGTCCGCGATTGACTCCTATCGACCCTTCTGGCTCAACAACTCCAACCAATAGTCTCGCTGCCTGACGCTTTACTATATTATTATTTCCTCTTCTCCTTCGGTTCAGAACGACTCCCAGCATGTAATAAAACCTCCTCAGCTGTTCGAGAGCTTAATCATTTTTGTAGCTCTGCGTATCCCTGCAGCTTACGGTTCAACAGCCACCCCCATTCTTTAAAATGCAACAAATGATACAATTAACCGTGTTGTGCCTCTGACGCTCCTAACGCTGCGTTTGTCGGATCTAAGGCATTTACAAAGCACGCCCCAGTCATTATCATGGAAGGTTGCCAGTTCACGAAAACACAGTTACAATACCAACTATTGCCCCAGTCCGTTTTAAAAACGGGGACTAATGACTTGGCTTTGTGAAGGGTCGGGTCTTAACGCGTTCCAGTGCGGAGCAAAAGTTGCAAAACGTGCTGACAACAAAATTGCATTCTAGGTCTGTATACCTCTCAATAAAATGAGAGTACTAAGGGGGAACCCGTTGGATGGGGTAGTTAATACATCAGTATGATGTAGTAGTTCAGCATTTTCGATGGAGTATTTTAAAACGCCTTAAGTCCTGTGTAACACGCCTGTCCGGGTGTTGAATGTGTACAAAGAGGAGCCATTGTTCATTGTATTTGTCTACCCTTGGATGGTGGGGGGTTAACGACACGATTGGGACGCCGGTGTGTGTTTGTGCGCCTCAGGTCACCCTCTACGCTTCACGTACTGAGCTCTGTCTGTGCTGTGGTCAGACCGATCTCCGAGCCATTAGGGACCAATCGAGAAACGCTTCTCACAAACTGTATGCAGTCTAGAACGCTTGCTGATGAGACTTAAAAGTAATATTTTGGATTGGGAACCTGATAAATCATTTAAAAGGAAATCTGAGAATTAAGTTTGGAATAAAAAATGTTCTTACCAACACTGAAGACATGGTGAGAAATACTGGCAGACAAGCCTGTTTTCAGCTTGGACCTCTTCAGCATTGGCAAGAGCTTGCTTTCTTTAAAAAGTGATTTCCAGCTCGATTAAGAAAAACTGTCAACGTCTGGAAAGAATCCAGAAATGTTTTCATCATCCTCATGTTTTATTTGAGTTTTCCTGTCCGGGACCACAGTTAAGATAACATTTCCTACAGTACACAGTCCAATGGGCACTGAAGCACTGAGAACTCTGGTACACAGGGAGGAGAGCCACCTACTGGTCAACCAACACCACTTCCAATCCAGCAGCAACCTGATACTACAGATACTCTACCAATACAGGCCACACTCGGGCTTGCTTAGCTTCTGGTAGGTGAGGACACAGATTATTCCTTTAGAAGGAAGGTTTTGTTACAAAGTCACGGGATTGAAGATTTTAAGAAAGTGAGAGTTCAGATTAGGAAACTGGGGCAAACACCTTTCTCACAAATGCCTAGCCATTGACGGAAATAGGCCAGATACGGGAGAATTTAAAGAGAACTAGTCTTTTAAGAAAAACACTGTAGCTTTAGGAACAAAATGTTTCATGAGCAGTACAGTATAGATTTAGTTATCTTTAGTGTAATTTGAACATATCTTGATGACATTTTGCTCTTCAGAAATTCCAAGCATTTTAAAACTGGCAAATTAAAAAAAAAGAGCTTGATTTAAAATTGTCCCAGGCAAATTAAAGGACATTCACTTTGATATTAATATCTCCAAAAGTGTCTTAAATTGTGACATAGCGAAGCCCTTGTTAAACTTACAAAAGCAGTTTAAAACTTATTAGTAATAAAAAGAACAATAAAGAGAAGATATTTAAAGTATGGTTTTCTCAGTCCCCTTGGTGTTGAATAACGTGTTTTTGCATGCAGACTGATTTTGTTTTTGTATTATTTGTGGCAGTGTGGTTTATGAAAGTGATTGCATTTCTAAAAAAATAAAATAGGATTTTGGAATGGACCACTCCTTGCTTCAGATAAGCAGCAACCTGTGAGCTGCTGTTCAGAGCAGTTTTCTCTCGCTAGTGGTCGATCAATAATTAACAATCCCAAGTCAATACCTTCATTCACAAATTCGTCTGTGTAGGTCAGTGCTGGTGTGATTCACACTGTGCACTTTCTTGACCTTCAATAACACTAAGCAGATTCATTTCCATGGAGTGCTTCATAGACTGTTAGAGCTCTTCTTCTTAGCTCGGGTAAGATTATGAGATTCTCCTTGGTTAGTGTTGCTGAGGACTTGTGAAAGGTATAGTACATTGACACATACAGTATGAGATGTGACTGTTAAATAATGATGCCTAATACACAATTAATACCTGAACGTATACACCCTATTGAGTGTTGTCTAAGAAAAAACGGTCACTCTGGGAGACTAAACCTTATTCCAACAATGCCTTTGCTCAAAACATTTTGGGATTTCTTCTTTTGGAATTGATTGCAAGACCTGCATTCTCTTGAACATCAGTGTTGACAAATGTTCTTCCTTGGAAGGTGTAACTGATTCATGGAAACAGCCCAGAGTCAATCTGATGAATGAGGTGGGTGGTCAGGCTTTAAGTCTTCACTGTTTCTGTCACTGAATCTTCACAGTAGTGTTCCTAATGTTCAGGATTTCTTTCAGAATGCGTTTGGCTTGTTTTTTCATCTACAGTTAACTGTTCTGATGTCATTCTCACAAATAACAGTTGATTCAGAGGAACCAAATCTCAGACCTTTACATTGGCCTTGAGGGTGATTGGACAACTGCTTTGTGACTTTAATTCATCCTCAAAAGCTTCCTACAGCAAGCACCTCACTTGGAGATTTAACTTCAAGTGAAATTAAATTTTAAATTTAATTATATTCCCTAAATAACTGCGTCTCCTTTTCATGTCAAAACAGGAACTCCTATTCAGCACAGCTGCCAGAACAAGACCAAATCTCCGACCTTTATACTTTATACTGCTGTTGCTGTAAGTTTAGATATAAACCACAAAGACCCGGCTTTATCACTCCTCCCCACACATAAAAGACCCTTGTAACCCTACAGTCACACCTTGGGCCAGAGCATCATTCACAATCTTGATTAGTGCTTTAGAAACATGCCTTTCTATACACTTGGGGATTAATGTCTGTCATAGATACCTTTCCATTTCAATGTCAAGAAGCTAATCCATTATCATAAGAATCAATATAAAACCCTTATGTTACCAAACAGCCTTCATCACTGTTCTTGTTATGAGAAAACACAGTAGAGAAGACACCCATCTGGCTGCACACTCATGCAGCATCACACGCTATTTAAAATTTCTTTTAGGATTTTATGAAATTACATCTGAATTTCTGAATAATATATATATATAAAATCTAAATTTAATTCCCTCTCATGTGTTTGCCAGTTTAGTAATACACACAAGGTTTGTTTCCATTCTGAAATATCATGTACTAGTGCTACTGTTCATTATTAACATACAGGGTATGCACACTTTTTAAAATTAGAAATGAGAACTTGCTTGGAATGGGTATATAATAACCTACAAGCCCTGCATACTCTCACAAGAAATGATGGCAACATGAACGTGGCACAGGATTCTACACGCAAGGAAAGTGTTTATGTCTGAAACCAAGGTCTTCCCTTTTCCTCATTACGCTGAAGAACTCTAGTCCAGAAGTTCCCAGTCTCAATCCTTGGGATCCAGACATCTGCTCATTTCTTGTTCCAGTTCGGTTGAACTTGAATTATTTTCAGTTCCTAAAATGAAGGAGGGTGTTTTAACTGTCGCAACTCTTATGTTACATAAAAACCCCAACCTGTCACGATGCCCACATGAAGAACCCTATGCAGGTGACGAACGAAAACAGTTGGGCTAGGCAAGGTCGGCGTCGGTGAGGCAGGCTGAGTCGAGATCCCCAAGGCTGAGATGAGAAGAATTCCTTAGAAAGGTTAAGAAACGGTGGAGGAGCTAGGAGAACAGCAGGCTGTTTAATTCCAAGCGATAACGTGCGGGTTGAGGAAGGTATAAAGAACAGGTGTGGTGAAAGGCAAGAGGCGTGACGGGATGATTATTTCGGGCGCTGTCGTTTCCGAGAATTGGATCGGGCTGGTGTCTGATTATCTGAGATTGTGGGAAAGTGCCGGCGTTTAGGACGGTTAGGGGACTGATTATGAGGGATCATGACACAACCTTTATCAGAGAATAAAAAGCTTGCAAGGGTTCTAGCCAAGCAACGTGTCTGTGCCATTAAAGATTCACACGAGTAAAGATGAGCACCAGCTGGTGTGTGGGACTCCAGGACCGGGACTGACGATTCCTGATTTGGGGCGGTCAAGGAATCACAGCGTATTTTGAAAATTGAAGCAATATTGGGCGGAGCGGTGGCTCTGTGGCTCAGGATCTGCGCCTGTGGCTGGAAGGTTGCCATTTCAAATCCCGCGGCTGGCAGAGGAATCCTACTCCATTGGGCCCCTGAGCAAGGCCCTTCACCCTAACTGCTCCAGGGGCGCTGTATAAATGGCTGACCCTGCGCTCTGACCCCCAGCTTCTCCCCCTGTCTGTGTGTCTCATGGAGAGCAAGTTGGGGTCTGCGAAAAGACAAATTCCTAATGCAAGAAATTGGATATGGATATTAAAGTGATCTTATCTTATCTAATATTGCAAGAATATTACTAGAAACCTTTAAGTGGTGAATACCTAGACTGCTGATCAGTTCGCAATTAATTCAATGAATTTCACATCCTGAGATTAATCACAATCCTAGACAGAAACTCAAAAACTATGCATTGGCTTCCTAATGTTTTAACTGCAGAATACAGTACAACCCTTAATAGGCCCAATCGGTGCTACAATGTTATGATATACCATTTTTAAAAAGACACGTTATTTTTTCTAGAACACCTTTCAAGAGGTGTAGGTACTTCTAAATGGCAAAAATCAGATTAGTCTTTTGAGAAATTAATCATTTTAGTGTTTGTATACAGTATATACAGTATATACTGCACATCGGATTCACATCAGTGTAATGCAATCTACGCCACTCTGTATCCCTGAAATGTGGAGAAAGGAAAGGTGGGAGGGGGTTAATTTTAAAGGGTAATGAATGACGATTGCATTTATATAGTGCTTTTTATCCCAAAGCACTTCACACATAGATGAGACTGACTTCATCCTCTACTGTGGATATACTCACAGCAGCAATGCTTTGTTTTAGTTTTGAGTCACATTTCCAGA